CTTATTTTTGTTTGAAGAATTCGGCAGCTCTGATATTCGAAAATGCAGAAGTTCGAAATTAAAATTCAGATTCACGATTCGACTTACCTTTAGTTTTTTTCCTGTGCTAATTAAAAATTGTGCAATACCGTAATATTTCCCTGGGTACTTACGTATTAATGTCACTGCAGCTGCAGACTTGGCGGTTTTTAAATCTACACCTAAAATTTTTGCGACAAATCATAAATTAAAGCACTTTATTTAAAATCAAAGTAGTCAATCGGATTTCGGTGGAAAATGGGCCGATATAGAGTTTAACATAGATTCAAAACAGTTCCTATTTTCTTTGACCTGATGCTGTCGCCATATGAACTCTGCTAAATAGGATTCTAAATGATGTGTCGCTGTCCCCCTATGTCTCTTGTTCCTCCACTTAGCGCTGTCCCACATTCTCTCAACTGTTTGTGCATGAACTCCTGTGTCAGAATCAATAAAATTGTATTTATGATTAACTTTAGCATGTAGGAATCCTTTTTTTTTTTTTCTATTCTATTTCTTTGGTAACCTTTCCAACTGTCAGAATAAATTGTGCAACAATCTGCAATGCATACTTGCCAACCTATGACACTCAAAAATCAGGAGATTTTTTTAAGAAATCAGGAGATTTTTCACAATGTTAAAAAGATTTTTTAAATGATAAAAATATAGTTTTTAATAATGAATTACCTTTAAATAGTTACTACGTCTTAAATGCAAGCAAAACAAAAATACCTTAGACATAAAAAACATTTTTATTACTTTCATCGTTTTTAAAAAAAAAAAAAAAAAAAAAAAAAAAAAAAAAAAGCACTTTAATCAGTTTTCATACAAATGTTATGGACAGTGGCAGATTTTGCTCTCGTTAAGAAAAAACTTCATAATTTTTGTTCATAGCAATTGCCACGTAGGCCTGCTTTCGCTAATAAAGTTTTTCTAATATGTCATCACTAATATTAGATCTTAATTTAGTCCTCGTTTTTGCAACAACACTGAAAAATCCTCTCACACTCTGCATTACTATGGGGAACTGTCAAGATGGCCAACATAATTCTAGAGAGTTCACTATATTTTAAAATTCCATCAGCACCTTTCAATTTTCCAATTAACCTCCACTGGGTGTCAATCCTAGCTGATTTTATAACTTCATCCAAGTTTTTTCTAATTGTAAACTGCAAAATTGCGACTGCAGTATATCAGTAGCAACATCAATATCATCATCTTTCATGACTAAACGAAGTAGTACACAGGAAATCTGTTCAAAAAGTACCTTATATCAAAAAAAGATGCATTTGCTAGAGCAGAAACATCAGCAACTTTAGCAATGCAAAATCAATTCATCATGACTGGAAATTTATGTAGTGTGTAATCACATACTTGACAGAAGTAATTCTAACATGAAGATAAAAACTTATTTTTGTTTTTCTTCTGAAAGTTCTTCACTACTTTTGTAGTTGCAGCTCCTATTACCAAATCTTCATCTTCCTTCTGATTTTCTGTTTTTCACCATAAATCACATCATATATAGAATTACAAGACAAAACACAGACTGGTTTTACAAACTTTGATAAAATGTCTTTAAACAGATCATAAATCATTGATTGCAAAACCATGAATTAATGGAATTCTGCTTTGTAGAATTGTGTTCAGAACATCGAATGATGGCAAAATGAATTGTAAAAAAAAAAAGCAAAAATCTTTGTTAAGGTCCGAAAAAGAAAAAAACTAAATATTCGTTCTTCACAAGATAAAACTTACAGTAATCGGAAAATGTTTCGTGTGTTGAGCAATTTTTTTTTTTTTTAATTTTATTTCAGAGAAATTTGTATCAGCTTTACGCTTATATTTTGCAGTATTATTTTGAGAACTGCCAGTTGAATTGCTGAATGATGCAGAAATTACAAAAAAATCAAAATTTTTCTCATTTCAGTATTATGCAGCTGTTGGAATTGTTTCAATTTTTCCTTTCTTTTAGAACTCCTTTCAAGATAATAATAAATATCAACAATGTGTTCATCCACATTTAATGGTAAAGAAGCTGCCCCTTTTTCAGCTGCTAAATTTAAGAGCTGACAGGTGCACCTCATAATCTGCAAATCTGAATTTGCCTTTCTTAAGATGCCTGCAACACCAGTCTTCAAGCCTACCATTACTGGTGCATTATCGGCACCAAGCGCTAAGCAATTATCCAGAGGGACTGCATTTTATTTTACAGTTTTAATAATTAGCTGTGCTATATTAAAGCCTGTCGAATGTCCTTCTTAAGTGGGGACAGAAAGTAAACTGCACTCAATTCTGAAGACTCTGGATTTTAAAAAAAGAAACAACAATTGGATACAGTTTGAATTGGTATTATTGCTTCCATCATCCGTAGAGAGACAGAATGGAGCTGTTTTTAATGCAATCAATAACTGAAGATTTATTTTTCAAACCCATTTCTTTAACAATTGCACCTGTTTTGGTCCTTGCACTTGAGTATTTCTTAGCGATTTCACTATCGGGAAACATTTTTCTAAATAAAGCTACAGCGTGATCCGATTGCATTCAGTGGCAGATTGTGCTCCAGTAAAAAAAGGCGAGAACAGACATTCTGCATTAATCACTTTTTGCTCTTTTGTTTCCGAAGAAAAATTTAATTTTTCGTTTTTTCAAAACAAACTCATGTTGTCCTTGTGTTTTTGTGCACGCACATGTTTAGAACATCTGCCCTTCCACCAAGCGAAATCGAAAAATCGCAACGACAGATGGTAACCCTCGCAAATTTATTACATTTCCTTGAAGAAATAATGGAAGGAAAGTCAACTGTGTACGATTTTTGAAACGTGCACGAGTATTTCACCTTTCTCGCAGACACAACAAAAGACGATAATTTCTAAAACTCTCTCCCAAAGGCATGTGCACTCACACAACTCAGGACAAGATGAACGAAATAACGAAAGAACATCGAAATAACGGCCCAACGGCCAAAGAATTTTCTTTGCAATGGCCTTGAGCTTGTTTTGTGCTCATTGGCTAATATATGCCAGATGACACGCAGTGGAGCTCGATGCCCATTGGAGAACTGGATAACGACGTTTCTGGATACGTATGCTGTCAATCACAAAGCAGAAATTCTCATCTGATTCGCAAGGTTTCATTTTAGATATAATCTAGAGAAAATTCAGTTGCTTTCAGACGTCCAAAATCACTTTTTTTTTTTTTTGTTCATATAACGAAGTATTAAGCCAAGTTCCATAAAAATCGTGAAAAATATTAAGAATAAGAAAAAGTCGGGAGAAATATATTGTAAATCGGGTTGGCGGGAGAGCGGTCGAAAATCGGGAGAGTTGGCAACTCTGGCAATGGTTTCAATAATTCTATTAAGAAGGGTAGAGCCAGTTCTATTAGGAACAGTGACAACAAACTAATCTTTTGTTTTTCTACATATACCACCAAACACCCACTGTTCGGGCAAGCCTCAATCACAATTATTTTTACTCTTAGTAAACAAACTTTCATCAATTTCCTCACTGCAATCTGGTCCACCTACCATCTTGTTTGGTTTATTCTCCATATCCAAGACACATAATTCACGCATGTAATTGTTCCAATCTATAACAGTTTTATCCGATAAATCAAGTTGCTTTTCACAAAATTTAATCGACGTCAACTTCTCACACCAGCAGTATATGAATCTCAAAGCTGAACAAAATGGAATTTGCTTCCTTCAAACCAGTTGTCTTTTCTAAGTCCCACTTGCTGATCATACTGTCTTAAATTACATTTCCAAAACGTACGTTTATCAAAATAAAGTTTCATATCATGCGAATTAGAACATTTTCTATTTCTTTTCTTTTTTTTTCTTTATATATATATATATATATATAATATCTCGCTCCTAAAAAAATAAAATTGCATCTTCGTCTGTGTTTGGCAAATCCCAAAGACGCATTTTCGTAGCACTAAAAAATGGCGTCAAAAATCAGCAAACAATAAGGCAAAAAGGATCCAAAAGATAACTGCATACGAACAACAGAATTGCTCTTTATTGGAGCATCAGCGCAACATCTGTTGCAGTGGTGTTAACAAGTAAGTACCTTTCCTTGCAAGATTTAACATACGTCACAGTAATGTCAATGTATGCTGGTTCGCTTAAAAAATATTACGCAAGACACAAAGGTGAAAGTTGTAATCGGAATGAAATATCCTCCTATGTCGACTTCGTCATGAAAACGTCAATTTGGATAATGAAAACAAAATTTCCTGAGTGAAATATAACAGAGCGATGAGAAAGACAGGTTAATCAGCTACGCAAAGGAAGATTCACACTAACATTCCTGCCAAATTTTACAAGAAAAATTTTACAAGAAATACTTTTCTCATCAAACAGATACATTCTGGGGCAGATGTCTGAATACTCATTAAATAATACATACTGAATAGTTCACTCATACTAAGCATGGCACTACAAACCAATCACTGCTCGGAACTATAACTGCTTCTTCGCACTCCCAGTTGTTAAACAGTAAAAGAATTCATAAAGTACAAAAATCCATTATCAAAACAATAAGTAAAATACATTCCTTGAACCATAAAATGACTGGACAATTCTTGATTTAGGTTTATATAGATAGATACCATTTATAATGTTTGCCTAAACATAAGATGTTCCTTTCCTGTAAAATGCTTTTGAAAAAAAAATCATAGCAATCTTCACACATGCAGTCATATATGCAAACTCTTTCTATTACTTATAAACACCTCTTAAAATGCACCTTGCATTTGGACTAAAATGAGAATTAATTTGATGCTGTTCAAGTGCAAGAGTGATCTTACATAAATTATTATTTTTGTAAAATTTACTCAATATACATAATATTAGAGTAAATATATACTAGTATCAAAATCTTATAATCCTGTTTTAAATTTCAGTTCATGCAACTTAAAAAATAAACAGTAGCATTTGTTTTGTTACAACACGTAAGTAATAAGGACACACCAACAAATACAAAAAAAGTGTACATTTATTTAATCACAGTTTCAAGAGGATGAATTTTAGGCGAGTAATTAACATACCACATTTTCAACTGCATTCTGCATCTTCAAATATAGCAGCACTTTGCACAGGTGTTAGGCACATGTGGCACTAGGAACATCACCAAAACAAAAAAGAAAATGTAGCATCTATGAGCAAGTATAAGTAATTCAATGAGCAATATTTTATTCTTAAAAACTCACATTACATTCGAAGAAAACCTGAAATGTATAATTTATGACTAAAAGGAATTAATGTGAAATTCAAAATTATTTCCTAAAAGCAATATCAAAAATGTATCCAAATTGGCTTTTCATATTCTGAGATTGACAATCCATAAATATATACTAAGGACTTAAGATGAAAATTTAGATGATGTAATAAAAATACAACAATGTAAAAAATTTCATTCTTCCTCTAAAGTACTGTTTACTGCTTTTTATTTATAAAATATATAATCTTTTAAATCTAGATTAACAAAATAAATATACTGATATATTACAAAAATAGTTACAAGTCACAAAAATCCAATAAAATACAATATTTCCATAAATATACTTTCTAATCATTTTAAGCAGCTGTACAAAGATTAACTGTGCTGGCAGTTGCTCCATAAACAATTTTAAGTCTAAGGACTGAAGTAGAGAAATTTATTCTCTTGCTAAAAACAATCATTTATTAAACAAAGCTGATATTGAACTCTCCATAGTCTTTACCAAGATCCAGATAATCAGTTTTGGGCTGAAATGAGCCAATATTTGCACTATTTTCCACACTTTCACCATCTTCTGATGCTTCTTCATCTGATGTGAGACAAAAAGCTGGGTTAATATGAACAAGTTGTCGGCTTGGTGGTCGAGGAGGAGGACCTCTGGCAAGGGCTTTAGGAGGAACAGGAGGAGGTTCACATGACAGTCTTCGTAGAGGTAGTTGTGAAAATGAAGCCTCTTTAGAAACATCTCTTTCTAGGGGGAGATCTTCACCCTGGTTTGATGCTTCCAACAAATAGCCAATTCTCGAAGGAGATAGAGATTCATCCGAATGAGCCCTTAATGTCACATCTATGTCCAAATCTAATTCAAAACTATCATTAGCTGTAAGGGTTGAATCTAGATTTGATGTAGGAGATGAATTCGCCGACAATAATACTGCATCTTTATGTTCAGTGGGCCTAACACGAGGCGGAAGCCTTGGAGGAGGATGTGATAAGGCAGAAACTGTGGGTTTGGAAACAGGCCAAGCACCAGATCTTGATTTCAAATTTCCGACCACAGATGGAACAATACCAAGATTTTGAAGGAATTTTTCAGAATGTGTTTCTTCAAATTCATTGGTAGAATAACAAGCTCTTGGGAAATATTTCTCAGCCAGCTGGTTAGGAGAATATACTAATTCTGGCGACAAATTATGATCTAGACTTTGAAGAGCTGTAGATAAGCCAAAATCAGCATCAGTGCTATTAAATGGCAAAGAAGACTTCATTTCAATTTTAGTGGGAACAGGGCAATTTTCTTTACCATGAGAGCTATCCTTTGTCCCCATCTCAAACTTTGACTCGGATGTTTGATTTTTCACACACTGTAAACATGAAGAATCTCCTATTTCGAAAAAAAAAAAAATAAATAAATAAAAATAAAAAAAAAAAAAAAAAAAAAGGAATATTGTGAAATACATGAAACATAAATATAAAAATGCTTTTCAAATGAACATTTTATAAAACTTTTATCTACAAGTTAAACTCAAAAGTACTGAAATGGAGTATCATCTCAAAATAAATTATAATTTAAATACACAGGTAAAAACTGAAATTAGAAAGAAACCACCAAACATCATACAATAGACAAACAAAAAAAGAAAGCAAGAAATACACCATGTTTCAAAAAGAATATACGTACTACAAAGTGTTATTTTGTCCAAACTATCGATCACTGTGCCTCGGCTATTGGAGAAGCGAATTCATAGTCTAGTTTATATTAATAGCCGCTACATGAGAGTTGTTTTCTGTTTTGCGTGGTAACCGTCACATGTTTAAAATGGCTACTCTGCAGCAGAAATCATTTTGTGTTCTCGAGTTTGACACTCTGTGACTTCTTCCTGTGGGGTTTGATTAAAGACAATGTTTATGTACCACCACACCCACAAAACTTGAAAGATGAAGAACCAGATCCGTACTGTCATAACATGAGTGACGACAGACATGCTTGCCCGAGTGTGGGAGGAATTTGAGTATCGATGTAATATTGTTCATGTCGCTGACAGAGGACATATTGAATATCTGTAACATCTGTAATCTGAACTTGAGAGATTCGTACATATGTGTGTAAAGTGTCATATTCGTCTGTCATACAGTTTAATAAATATATGCATTCGAAATACGTATATTATTTTTGAAACATACTGTACTTTGGTGACTTTTTACAAATATATATGTAAGATACAAAATGTAAAAGCGAACTTCTAAATTTAATTCACTATAACCTCTTTTATTTTCTATTTCATTTGGGAACTTCATCTATCTGTCCTAAAAATAGCGCAGTACGTCCAAACTGCATCATTCAAATTAATCATGCGATCTTATGTAACCCTTAATACAGATGCCTCTTGACCAATCATCAAATTGTAAACCAAAACTAAAAACTGACTCCTCTCCCTTCTTTCTATGAACAGATGCATCACTTTTGCTTGTGCTCTCCTCTTGGCTAGACGTCTTTCTGCAATAATGTGCGTGCTGCTACTTTCGCTTCTATGGCAATAATATCAAAATTGAAAATGTTCTTTAATAGGCACAAGTAGAGTGCCAAGTGAATTGTAGCCACAAATGAATTTAATCCAATTTTAATAAAATAAATAAAAGGAATTTAATCCAGCTCAATTGCTTATTCTTCAACATGGATAGACGCTCTAAGCTTCAAGTATCTACGCAACTAGTATTTCCACGCATCTACGTCTCTGTGTTTTTATTTCAGTGCGCCTAAAAGTGTTCTGTCATTACATTCTTCGGCCAGTTTTAATCATGAAGAAATCTACATGGGTTTGTTATTCTGTGTTCAAAGTGAATCGTGGGAAAATTCCTGTTTCAACGAAAATTTTAATGCAAGTTTGTGCTGCATTCATAATCAAATCTTTCATGTCTTCTCATGCAACAACAGTTTCATTACATATATATATTCTCATTATTACTTTTGACAACCAAAGCAGTGGAGTTACAGTTCTGGCTTGACTTTCTGAAAACGAATCAAGACTCTTAAGAAACACCTATTTATAACATCTGCTGTCTGTTTGCACAAAATTTACACTTTGCATTAGATGAAACTTCAAAGAAAGTGTTCAATTTGAGCTCATTCCAGAATAATGCTTACTTAGGTCAATGGCAGTGTTCTCTAACTTTTTTTAACGTTGTAGCCTTTCGTGTGATTATTCTTCGGTTTTGATTACTCTATTTTATCCCCAAGATAGAATTTCCTTTAATGACATTTTAAAAAAATATTTTATGACTACATGATAAATTACTAATGCTGTTTTCAATCTACTAAAAAAATATATTTTTAAATAAGAATATCTCAAATGTGACAAAACTATTTTAAAAACTGTTCTGAAGTGTTTAGAAATGTAAAATTTTATAAAAAAAATGAGATACTATATTTTTAATAGAACTTCAAAAGAATTGCTCAATTATAAAATGAAAGAAGTCACCTAATACAGACAACAGCAGTAGAAAAATGGTGAGTTTCAAATCTTCAAAGCCCAGAGCAGCTTTAAAGATTTTTAGTATGGTCAGCAAATGTATGACTTCACTTTTTCATTTCTAACAGACATTTCAAACTGATAAACAAATGCTTTAATGCATAAAAGAACATCTTTAAAGTGCATTAAGTATTAGAACATTTTAATTAATAAGTTTTGAATGATGGTATCATTCAAACTAAAATATGTAAAGTACAATAAATATTAAGATAAAATAACATGCCGAACAAGTATTAATTTAGAATTCAAGCAACAAAAATCAGCATAAAAATCTGCAAATATAATGCTTATTTTTTGGTAGGAATTCTAAATTAATATAATAATTATATTTGACCTATATATTCATTACTACAGTACAAAGACGGAGATCTGGACTCGTCAGGACTTCCGCAATTCCGAATTTTTCCAGGTATTGGATCATCATTTTAAATCTAGTAAGATGACACGTAGAAATAATAAAATTAAAAATATGAAATTGTGATTTATGAAATAATGAAGCATTTATGATCAAGGGTATCAAAATTTAGAAAAACAAAAACTTCATATTTATTTGTTTACTTTATTAAGCATTTCTTTCACATTGTTTAAGTTGCTTCATTTTTGTGCTAGCATATGGTACTGCCTTGGCGTGATTTTGAAAACTTGCCCACACCAAAATGACCCATTTACTACTCATCATAAATGTTGCGTTTAAAGCTCATAATAATGTCGCTAAATCCCGTGTGTACCATATACTAGGATTAAACCAAAATTTTTTGTTCAGTTACAAAGTTCCATTGTTGAAATCCTGTAACTGCCGTGTCTAGAATTTTAACTTGTCAATCAAATTTCTTTTGCTTTCAATAACCTCTCTGCCACTTTCTTCACCAGTAGTGGTATTTTCTGGATCTAGAACCATACTACAAATTTTGCCATCCAGTAATTGATTAATGATTGAGAAGCATTGTCATCACAATGAAAATTTCTTTTATATCATCTTCATATATTACCACTTCCCCACATTTCGTTACAAAATCCATTAATTAGAAAATTTGCGAAATACAAAAACCTTCAGATTCATGCTATCACCATAAAATCCAGCCATCGTTCACTACACATATTTGGGGTGACCAGACAAAAGCCCACTGGATGAAAATGCACGTGTCAAAAGCCCACAAAAAAGACCCCACTAGGATAATTGCTCACGCGACTAATACCCACACTGATGAAAGCGCATATTGATAAAAGCCCACACAGATAAAATCACACATTGATAAAAGCCCATATAGGTATAAGCCCATATAGGTATAAGCCCATATAGGTATAAGCCCACGTTGATAAAAGCCCACACTAACAAAAACCCACACTGATATATATGCTACATTAAAATGAATATTTTTTCCCCTTTTTTCTTCAGCTGCACAAAGTAGATTAATGAATAAAGATAAAATAAAAAAAATAAATTAATAACAAATAATTGAACAATAAATTTAAGTAGAGGAACACATTTAATTTTGGGCTCTTGCTGAATTAAGAGAGTCAATCAAAATAATGTAATTATAAACATATACACGTATGTGTAACTTTGTTATTATATTTATGCGACAAATGGAAGTGCCCTCGTATAAGTCTGACATAGGGAGGTGAAAGGGAATACTGGCCACACTGATAACTTTTAATTCTACAAAATTATAAAGAGTATAAAATGCACGTAAATTTTCATCATTTCAAGGAGAAAGATAAAAGTACCGTATTCTACTATGATTAAGTAAACATTTGTGTGTGCTATCACAAATACTGTTTTCATTGTGAACTAACTAAAGCACGGTTTCAAATAATCTAGTTAAATTTTGACAACTTGGATTTTAGATAAATTTATTTCATTCCCACTTGAAATTTCATTTTTAATCATAATAATTATTGTTCGTAAAATTTTTCAGGAAGTCAGGAATTCAGCATCAAATTTTAAACATAATTTTTTTTTAATTTGTGTCTTAACTTTTATTTTCAAAAAACATGCAGGTAATCCGAAGTTTTATATAACAAAAATGAATATAGAAGAGTGCGACAAATTAAATTATCTATACATTCAGTCAACTATCAAAAACTAATTCTGTCTAGACTATCGGTCCTCAGTCAGGAGGAATACCCCTAAGGGGAATTTCAAAGTTTCAGACAGTAATCTAGTCAACCTTTTCTTTACCTGTTAAGTATTTAGATTTTAGTTTATGAATATAAAAAAACACTTTTGTTCAAATTTTTGGTATTTATCAACATTTTTTATACTTGTTTAATTTATAAAATGCATTAAAAATAATCCATATTAAAAAAAACGCATATGTACTTTTCAAGTTTGGGGAAGGATGGATTGAATGATCGTTTAGCAATGGTGAAAAGGGCACATAAGGGAAAAACTGTTGAGAATCACTGGTCTAGTCTGATACGCACTGATTGTACTAACCGTTACACCACGAAGGCATGCTGGAAGGAGGAAGAAAATACCTTATATACTCACCCTTTTAAAGACAACTGAAGATTAAGAGACCCAGTCGTCAAATCCCGGTGGGGAAGAATCATCATCTACCACCTTTTTTTTAGTTCAGGCGCCATGCTGGAGACGTGAAAAATGAGCATTGTGCTTGCCAGGACTCTAACCTAAACCCCTCGAATACGCATCGAGTGAGCAAACTGTTACCCCATAAAGGCATGCTGGAAGAAGGAAGAAAACACTATCCTGTTATGTATTATTTCAGCCTGTACTGTTAATTCTACTTTCCGTATCCTCACCAGAATGTAAGTAAACATGTTTAAGATGCAAATGAGTTAAGGGTATTTAAGGTGAAGCTTTTGAGATCGAAAGGGAATGCAAGAATTG